GCCGCCCCTGCCGACTTAAATGCATCCAGTTCCTCCAAGTGACTCTTCACCATCTCAGGGTCTACGCACGGTAGTCTGGTGCCTTGCTGCTGCCTCTCTACAATCCCAGTGAGAGACTTGTCTTGCCCCTCACTTAGGAACACTGAGGCAAAGAACTCATTGAGGAGTTCAGCCTTGTCCCCCCTGTCCGTCACCAATTGCTTCTGCCCATTTAGCAGGGGTCCTATTCCACCCTGGGCCTTCCTTTTACTCCCTATGTATATAAAAAACAATTTTTTGTTATCCTTAACTTGGGATGCCATCCTCAGCTCCATGGCAGCTTTGGCTCCTTCCTCCCTACCCTATCAGGAAGAACCTTCTGACTATGAGGGGGTTTAAGCATTGGAACAGGCTACCCAGAGAGGTTGCAGAAATTCAATTTTGGGAAGTTTTTAAGAGCAGGTTAGAAAGACACTTGACTGGAATGGTTGATCCAAGATCAATCATACCTTGAGCAGGTAGCTGGACTAGATAACCTTCTGAGCTCCCTTCCAACCCTACAATTCTATGATTTGAGTATTTTTTCCTTAGTCATATCAAAAATGTTAGGCAGGTGGAGCAGACTTCCATAAATGAATGAAAGTAGGAGTAGGAGTAGTGGTAAAGAAGGCAGCTACCTCCAACCAACACATACATCCCTGCTCCTACCTGAAACAATGTCTATGGTTTAGATTTTTTTCTTTCCTCTACTCTGGATGTTTCAAGAGAAAAATCATAGAATCACAGAAAGTTAGGGTTGGAAGAGACCTCTGGAGGTCATCTAGTCCAACCCTCTGCTCAAAACAGGACTATCCCTAATTAGATCATCCCAGACAAAGCTTTGTCTAGCTGGATTTTGAAAACCTCCAAGCATGAAGCTTCCACCACCTCTCTGAGTAACCTGTTCTAGTGTTTTACTACTCTCCTAGTGAGAAAAGTCTTCCTAATATCTAACCTAAACTTCCTTTGCTGCAACTTGAGACCGTTGCTGCTTGTTCTGTCATCCGTCACCACCAAAAACATTCTAGCTCCATCCCCTTTCAAACCCCAACTTCAGGTAGTTGAAGGCTGCTATTAAATCCCCTCCCAGTCTTCGCTTCTCTAGGCTAAATAAAGCCCAGTTCCCTCAGTCTTTCCTCATAAGTCATGTCCTCCAGCCCTCAAACCATTTTGGTCACCCTCTGCTGGACTCTCTCCAATTTGTCCACATCCTTTCTGTAGGGGGGTGCAAAACTGAACACAGTACTCCAGATGTGGTGTCACCAGTGCTGAATAGAGGGGAATAATTTCATAGACATCAGGGCTGGAAGGGACCTCGGAAGATCATCAAGTCCAGCCCCCCGCCCAAAGGGCAGGAAGTCAACTGGGGTCATAGGATCCCAGCAAGATAAGCAGCCAGTTTCATCCTGAAGGTGTTCAATGAAGGCGCTTGAACCACCTCCGGTGGCAGGCTGTTCCAGACCTTGGGGGCTCGGACAGTAAAGAAGTTCTTCCTTATGTCCAGCCTGAAACGATCTTGAAGTAGTTTGTGACCATTAGACCTCGTCATCCCTTGGGGTGCTCTGGTGAACAAACGTTCCCCAGATGCTGGTGGTCACCCCTGATAATCACTTCCCTTGACTTACTGGCAACACACCTGCCAATGCAGCCCAGGATGCTGTTAGCCTTCTTGGCAGCAAGGGCACACTGCTGGCTCTTATTCAGCTGAAACCCCCAGGACCTTTTCTGCAGAGCAGCTGCCCAGCCAGTCAGCCCCCAGCCTGTCCCGGTGCATGGGATTGCTCCGTCTTAAGTCCAGGACTTTGCACTTGTCCTTCTTGAGCTTCATGAGAGTCTTTTTGGCCCAATCCTCCAATTTGTCTAGGTGACTTTGAATCCTAGCCCTACCCTCCAGTGTATTAGTGTCATCTGCAGACTTGCTGAGGGTGCACTCTATGCCATCTTCCAGGTCATTGATGAAGATATTGAACAAAACCAGCCCCAGGATCGACCCCTGGGGCACTCCACTTGATGCCAGCTGCCAACTAAACACTGAGCCATGGATTACTACTCTCTAAGCCAGATGCTTCAGGCAGTTTTCTATCCACCTTACAATCCATTCATCCAGCCAGTACTTTCTTAGCTTGCCTGTCAGAATGTCGTGGGAGACTGTATCAAAAGCCTTGCTAAAAATCAAAGTATACCACATCACTGCTCTCCCCACATCCACAGACCAGTCATCTCATCACAGAAGGCAACCAGGTTAGTCATGCTTGACTTGACCTTGGTGAATCCATGCTGACTGTTAGCTGACTGCTCCTAATCACCTTTTTCTCCTCCAAGTGCTTAGAAATGGATTCCTTTAGGATCTGCTCAATGATTTTTCCAGGGACTGGGGTGAGGCTGACTATCTGTAGTTTCCCGGATCCTCCTTTTTCCTTTTCTTAAATATGGGCACTATGTTTGCCCTTTTCTAATCATCTGGGACCTCTCCTGCTTGCCATGAG